AACAAAATTTAAGAAATTTAATAGGTAAAATAAATATTTTTAATAATAACAGGCCATTCTGTATTTAAGAATAAATCGACAAATCAGTCTTCATCATCCGCTGTTGTATGATGGCTATGATCTTTGGGTTGGTCTCTCCCAGAAGTCTTACATAACTACAAACCTTGACAAAGTTACCTGGACATGAGCTATAAGAATCTTGGAATTTGCCATGGTGATCAATTAGTTGTTCTCTATAAGTGGACATTCACTTCACACCCAGGTTGCACTTATTTCTCTCTTTATTATCTCCTTCCTGGCAGAGCCATAGCACAGTGGCAAGGCACTTGCCTTGCACGCAGCTGACCCGGGCCGCCTGGCCAACCCCAGTTCAGTTCAACTCCTCCGCCCCGACTCCTCTGCCCCTCTCAGAGAGCCCAGCAAGCTACCGAGAATATCGCGCCCCCACGGCAAAGCCTGGCAAGCTACCCGTGAGGTATTCAACATGCCAAACATAGTAACAATAAGTCTCACAATGGAGGTGTTACTTGTGCCCGCTCGAGCAAATCGATGAACAACGGGAGGACAGTGCTATACAGTGCTATACAGTGCTATTCTCTCCTTCCACAGGCCAATATCTAGTTCTGAGTATTGACAAAGAAGAAAATTCTTTAGGTGGAGAAGTATGCTATTCTTTCTTTTACTTGAAAAGTCGTTTTTGTATTATTATAGTTAGGAAATAGGATTACAATAGTGTTTAAGCTTGTAGTAATAATGCAAAAAATTGCTGTATAAAACAGCAACCTGAGTGCCAATCAACTCTGGCTGTCACCGTTGATCTGATATTTCTTCTCTACTGATCTTCCCACTGTTTATTAATTGACAATTATGGGTTTGGCACATGCTGTAACCTCCCTTAGCCACTATCCATGTGCTCCAGACACTTAACCTATGCCTCTATGCTACTTCAAGTAAACATAAATCTTACCCTCCTCCTACCATTCATTAATTAATCAATTAACTATGAATTGTCTGTTAATTAATGTCATCCATCCCTTGATTTGTTTCTCTATATGGCACATATCAGTGAAATAATCCTACATTTGTCTTTCTGCCTCTGGCTGGTTTTGCTCAGTATGACACTTCCTTATTTCATTTATATTAAACTTCACATCTACCCCTAGTTTTGGGCAATCACTTACATGTTTTCTGTGTCAATATATTTATATAAATAGAAATGTGTGAAAATGTAATCATACAACATAATGTGTACTGCATCTGAGCTTAGAGATTCTGGGCTTCATCTGTAATAGAATGTGAGTTTTTTTAAGTCCTGAATAATATTGCCTTGTACAAATATAGTGTGGTATTCTTCACTGCTGTTATGAACAGTCTGGTTTTGAAATTGTTATAAACTTTATATCACTTTATAAATATTTGTGTCAACTTTTATAATGGGAAGGTGACATATTTTACTAGAGCATGTTAACAGTAAAAATTCTTATGAAGGAGAAAACATACAAATATATTTTCCTTAATCCAAAAATAGTGCTTAGGGGCCAGGGATGTCCCACTGTGGTAGAGAGTTTGCCTTGCACGTGTGTCTGGGTTCAACCACACACACACACACACACACACACACACACACACACACACAGAAAACAAAAACCAAGCAAACAAACAAAACACCAGACACGAAACAAAGAAAATGCTTATGATTACTAACCAAAAAAAGTTTCTTAACCTAAGTGCCTGTATGAGACTTGTAAAGTAAGTTACAGTATACTTATTTATTGGATGGCAAAATCAGGTGTGTACATGAACTAAATAGAAACTGAGAATGATAGAATAGTAGTAATCAATGTAGTAAAGCAAATACAGGCATTTCAATATGATTTTTCAGTATGTGAGAAAAAGAAATCATAATTATATCCAGTTACTAAAACTTTTCAGTTATCTTATATTTTTGTATGTAGAATGCTTCCAAATTTTCTATGATGTATTTTATAACAAGAAGATGCAATGAAATACTAAAACTGGTAACATTAGTAAAGGATAAATGTGCTTAATTCTCTAGTTAAATCATTTGAGTAAAAAGATGAGAAAAACACTTGCTAACGCTTTCACTATTACTAGATTAAGAAGTAACAGCTTTATTATTTTTTTATTATTTATAAACCACAACACAAAATTAACAAACATAATCAAATAGGTGCTATATGTTTTTGAAAATTCTTAACTTTATGCTACTTTGTTCGTGTGATAAATGTTTTGTAATGCACCATCACATAAGTGTCACATTTATATAACACAAAATGAAGGTGCACCTGTCGAATATTTACTTAAAGTCTTTACACCTTTGAGCTGGAGACAGAGCAGGAACTTAAATGGGCTCTTTAAATACTTTTGTTCGCAAGTAAATAATACTTTCAGTGAAATTTATAATTTTCATTTACTAACAGGTTTTTTTTTACTAGAGGTATCATAAGGACCAAATTAGACACCAATAAAGATAACTTAAAATTTTGCTGTTTTGACATAAATTGAAAATACATACTGGGTGTTTTAATGCTCAAGTATTTCATTTATTTAGCCTTTTAAAAATATACAAAAACGCAAAATAATTGAAGCTATGTATAACGTTGTTTAGCAGGATGTCTTAATACATTAGTCAATGTAAAGAATCACCTGGATGACACTTTATGCTTCATTCTGTAAAAAAAAAGAATTCAAATTCTGCTTCTGTCATCCTTCACTGACTCCTGAAGCTCTCTGAACAGGAGAGAATGATGCATTTGCATCACCTGACCAACTGTGTTGTCACGTTTTTCACTTTACTGGACAATTTCTTCTTTTCCCTCTTCTTTGGTATCCCGGGTGACTGCTTAGGAAAGTCCCTTTGCTACGAATTTTAAAAGAACAAAATCGGACGCTCAGTTCCCCCAAAATAGGATTGTGAAAAACAAATGGCTGCAGTGATAAGAGAGGATGTGGGGAGGACCCTCTGGCCCGAGGGGCTGGGGGCGGGCAGCAATACGTCAGCGAGCCTCGTTTTGGAGCCACAGCAGAAAGAAACTGCGCACAGAAAAGGCTTTTCAGTACGCGGACCCTACAAAGGGATTTTCTCCAGCCGCGCCCTTCCCCAGCCCCCGCTTCCGGCTCCAGAGCTCTTTTCCAGGCGGCTCTTCCTTTTGGTACCATTCATTGGCTCAGGATGTGAGATGGACAAGTTGTTGACCCAATGACTGTGTAAGCCTTGGGCCTAATGCGTTTTATCTACACACTCTGCGGGTGATAGGTCCGGTATAGCACACAGCATGTTTGCTTCTGCATAATCCTGCTACTACTCTGACGCACATGTCCGTGACAGGTCCTGCATCCTCCCTCCCCCTATTAAACTGAAAAGGAAAAATAGCAGCAAGATATCTTTTCAGTTTGTTCTCTTGCTTCTACCCGACTTGAGTTCACCTTTGATTTTGAGTCGACCAGAGCAGAGGAGTTGTGATAAAAGCCCAAACTCACCCACCACTTCCCTCCCCCACCCGAAAGCCTCCTCGGGAGATAAACTGGGAGAAATCCATCTATTATTTATACGCCCATATTTGTGTAGCGTGCTGCTGAATGATTTTATTTGCGGCTTTTCAGCTTCTCTTTCGCAAATATTCTGTAAGAGGCTAAATTCTCCAGTGTTCTAAGTATGTACTGCGGATGTTGCATTCCATATTGGCGGTTTAAGGGAAGGACTCTGCTATCTGCCATGTTTGGCAAGCACAGTTCTGGTTTAGGCACCCTTGTAGCAGTGCACCTTTGTAGCAGTGGAACAGGAACATAAATTTATAATACTCTAAGTATGTAAATATGTATGACACACCCAGTCATGATGGTTGCAAAAATCTAAGAAATCAAAACATGCTCAAAATCCTGTTGATTTTGTATAAACTATGACACGTTAAAAAATCAAACATACTTGCTTGATAAATATAGATTTGTAATGTTTTCACGTTTATAGATAAGAAGGGGGTGCTTGTTAACAGGAAAAAAGCAATATACTAAATTATATATGGTGGGGTTTGGGGACCCTATTAGGTAATTTTACAGCTGAAGATTCAGAAATCTTCAAATTTTGCCTCCTTGCTTCTGCTTTTTAATGCAGTAAAGTCTTGAATGAAATATTATGTAGGCAGTGGAAATGGAAAAATGTGAGATAAAGCACTGCTTTATAATTTGTTGTACTTGTTAGTACCTTTGCCCCCATTTTAAAGCTCTCTTACAAATTGACTTTAAGGCTCTCCCTTTCCATAATTTCAAGCTAAAAAATGGGATCTAAATATCCTGCAACCTGCTGTGTGATACTGAAGAGATTAAGAGCATGATGTCACCTATAAAAATGAGCTATGGTAGTGTGAGCCTCCCAAGTCAGGAGGGTGGCAATGAATTATTTTCTCATCCTACTCTTGGAAGTGACAGAGAGCTTTTCTTTTTTCTTTTTTAACTTTCTTAATTTTATTTTTCTAAATAGATGGCTTTCCTTGATCAGAAATTTCCATTTTGGTTCCCACTTTTCCCCAGCCCCGCCCCCCACCATCATTTCCCTGTATGCTTCCCTTCACCCACTACACCCTTTTCCCATTCCTCCTTCCTCAAAATTCCCTTTTTCTTCACTTGGTCTTTTCTTTCCTCCCCACTGGCTCTCCCTTCCCTCCTCCCTTCTTCATCTCCTTCCCCTTTTTCCAAACTCCTATCCTGTTCACATACTTACTCCCTTTGCCTTACCTCCCTTGCCCTTCCTTTTCTTTGTCTTCTTCCACCATCTTGCTGTTTCACTCACCCTCCCTCCACCAATTCTCCTCTCCCCTCCCTTGTCTATCTTGTCCCCTATGTCATTTCTCTTTAACTACTTGGTTATATGTTCTCCGAATAATAGCTAAGATCTGGGGAAAGTCTTGAAATATTCATAATAATTATAATTGTCAAGTCCCATTTCCCTTAATATTTTCAGTTTTGTTTTTAAAAGCACCAAATTTGGGAGCACAATACACTTTATTTGACATGTAATTATTTTAGGATGCAATAGAGAACATGAAAAATATCAAATAACACAAATTGAACATTTTCATTGAAAAGAAAATTAGCACATATTACAAAGAAAATGTTACTAGTAATTTTAGATTACAATTAAACAGTATAAGATAAAGAGACTTTTGCCATAAAATACTATATCATATTAACACTTCAGTGGTAAACAATAACTTCATTATAACTAAATTTATACACCACTATTCACATAAACAAGCTCAGTCACATTCTACATGGTATTAATAAATATCCTTAAGTGTATTCTAATTTTTTCAGGCAAATTTCACAATACTCTCTAGTAGTTAAACGTGTTGTATTTCTATAGCAAAGAATGCACTGCCAGTGGAAGCATATTTAAATCCTTAGTCTTCAGAGCTGAATAGGAGAAAACAAAGAGCTGTGTTTTTAGCTCAGGAAATTACTTTTTCAAGCTTTTTAAAAAATCTTAGTTAACAATTCTGAGAATAATTCTAACAGTTTTCACAGTTAAATTATAATAGGAACATAACAAAAGGACTTCACAAGAAGCAAAATCTATAGAATCAAGCTAACATGCTTTAGGTAACTGACATTTTACATATCTCTTAAGAATATCACATTACAACAGGTTACAACAGAATATAAATAATAAACTAATACTTAGACACTTTTAAAGAAATTTTTAAAATACCAAGAAAATATAAAAGCACAAGACAGCAAGGGATATTAGTATGGAGATTACAGGGCAGGTTTTTTTTTTTCTCAAAGCTATATAAACCTGCTTCACTTCAATTTTGAAATTCTTGAAAATTCTTTCAGGCAACTTTCCTTTTTATTTTCGGTATCTTCTATTTCTGTAATAGGCACCATTGATTTCTCCAGTGTAGTAATAGACTGATTTCAGGATGACATTATCATGTAAAATTTGACCAATTTCAAAGTCCTCATCAAGGATTGCATCTTCTCGTGGTTCCAGCTTTCCGATTTTGGGAATCTCTGGAGGGCTAAAGAAATTGAAGAATGATGCATTAGGAACGATTCTCGGCTTGATTTCAATTTCCCCAGTAGCAGTTGTGCGACTGTAGGTGGTTGTCACGGTGACATCCTTTCCTCTTCTCCAATCTATTTTACAGCCTTTACAATCTTCAATTTCCCATCCGCAAGAGAAGAAAGGATCGTTGTGATCTGGCTTCGAAGTAATTACGTACGACTTCGTTAGCACTTCATTTCTGAAGTACGGATTCGGCAGAAAATGGAATTCAAATGTGTAGCTTATGGGCTGGCCAGGTTTCGAGAACTTCAAGCTGACATCTGACAAATACTTCAGAATTGGCTCATCATACTTCTGAATCTTGGTACCGAGCTTCTCCACATTTCTTAGAACTGTTAGCCAATAATTAGGGATGCCTTTGGGATCTTCTCTTCTGGACTTTCTCTTATGAGCTCTTTTACGACTTGCTCTTTCTTTAAGCCTCACCTCTGAAGCTCTTCTAGAAGATTCTCTCCGGGCATCCCTTGATTCCTTTGGTTTACGCCGCCGTTCTTTGTCTTCTGCTTTTGCTTGGGGTAAATCTTTAGCATCTTCTTTTACTTCAGGCTTTGCCTCCGGAAAATCTTTAGCTTCTGCTTTTTCCTTTTCAGGATTTTCCTTGGGAGCCTCCTTTTCTTCCGCTTTCGCCTCAGGCTTCTCTTTTGGCTTGTCTTCTTCTTCACCCTCTAAGGGAGGCATTTCACTACAGCTGTCTTCCTGGACCTCCTCGTCACTGCTGAACTCCTCATCCTCCGAATTCCATTCACATTCTTCTCTTGTCGGTTCGTAGTCTGCATTGACAATTTTGCATCGCTGATCGTATATAGGTTTGTTGAGAACAGCGTATTTTTTTTCCAGGTCATGAATTGCCTTCAGGAAAAGGGTGTCGACCTTGTCGCATTCCGTTTGAATATTTCGGAGTGCCTGCACACGATTTCTAACTGCCCGTGGAAGGCGATCCAAAAAATATCTACCCGAGGAACGTGACCTCCTGGAAGGCTCGTGTTTCCTTTTCTTGCTGTACAAGAGGCTGAGACTGCTGCTGCTGCTGCTGTCACTGCTGCTGGAGGAGCTGCTGTCAGATTCTTCCCCAGAATTACTAGACGAGCTAGCCTTCGCTTCTTCGGCCACCCCCGGGGCCGCAGGTTCCGGGACCTTATTAGCATCAGCTTCTGCCATTTTGCAAGCCTGCAAGCTTTTCAAAGTGGGACTAAGACAGAGACCCCGCGCCCAGAGCTGAGCAAAAGACTCACGGATCGTTGAGTCGCAACCGCAGAGATCCTGGCGCAGGTGGAAGTGGTCCGGGTCGAGACAGCGCGGGACTGGGCAGGGCCGAGTTGCAGGGAGAGCGCCGAGGTGGCAGTGGCGGCGAAGGCCTGGAGAGCAGGGAAGGCGGACCTGGCGAAGCCTCTCCCAGCGGCGGCTGTTGCGGGCAGAGGCTTGCCGCAGTGGAATGGCGCAGTGCGAGGCCCGAGGATCTCTTCGCTGTTTACATCACAAGCCCCCTACCCTTTCGGTCAGACCACCAGCTAATTTGGTTTACAGAGTGCCTGAAGCTCACACCTCATTTGCTGGGGAGGGTTGATTGACAATTGTTAGCTCCAATGAACGATCAAACCCAATAGCCTCCCCCCCGAGGTCACGCCTTCTTCCCAATGCTGCCTAGTAGCAGAGGCACACGTCTCTGTAAGGCTTTTTTAAAATAAAAATTCCCCCCAAATTCAATTTATATATCTTTAGAATAAAAAAAAGATGCTACGACTATTATATCCGAGGGAAAAAGACTATCAATAGATCCTAACAGAGGGAAAAGAAGTGTCCTCCCACCCGTTCAGCATAAATTCCCCTTTGGTTGATCAAACCTGTTAACAAAAAACGTTTATTAAAACATGAATTAAAATACTCCACCGGTGTTATCTGGTAGTCTTATTGTGGATGACTTTCCGAAGTACGTCTATTTTATCTAAATATCCTGCGACCATGTTTTTACTCCGCGGGGAATGAATAAAATGCCGAGTTAGTTGTTACAGAGTGGGGGATGGGCTAGAAAGCAGGCGTAGTAGCTTTCACACTCCACCAGCAGCTTTTCCCAAGGCTGTCTCGTAATTGACAAGTCTAGTTTATATTCATATACAAGATTTGCGGATCAATTTTACTGGGAGTTCGTTATAGCAATTTTTAGTCTATTTCCCTTTTTTAAGCCGGCATATAATACACCCTAACGTTGTTGCCGATTTGTCAAATACCCTCACTGCTTATAACAACCTTATAGGGAAAATATAAGAGCATTCAACCATTACGTAATACTTAAAAGCAGGCTTTTTATATGCTTTGGTACAACAGTTTTAAAATCTAGGAACAGCGGAACGGGAGGGGGAATTTGCTCTACTAAAAACGTATCCTCAATCAGGGAATATTTTAAAAAGTCATCTACCATCAATTTCCTTCTAGTATAGTAAAATTTTATCCAAATTAAAGTGTTATCTGCAAGTCCAGAAAATATTGGACAGATATTTGCGACATTAAGGTTAAAAACATGTATCTGTTATTTTGTTCACAGGCTTCTGTACTGCTTTAGGACCTACTCCCTTGGTAAAATCCCAAAACAGAATTTGCATTTCATTGAAAGGTAAGATGCGTTGTAGACCATTTTTATAAAAAAAATTACTTATTCGTATTTTAATAAAAAATACACTGGATATTGTCTTCTAAAGATGTACTTGGAAGATGTCGGTATTTCCACGGTAGCAGAGAAATCCACATTGATACGAATGTAGAGGATAACATAATTACTTTCACAAGAAAACCTATTCATAGAAAATATGTACTAGATGAAATACAAATTATGATGTATTATTCACTTCAAAATGAAAAATATTACAGTAGCTTTTGATATTTTTATTATAGGGTTTGTGATTTGTTATATGTGTTAAGTTGGGAAAATTATTTCTGATCATCAAGGTATATAAGCACTATATAAAAACTTACATTAAAGAAAATGCTGGTCATAGTAAAAATATACAATATTAGCTAAATGATAACCATTACTAGAATTTTGATGAATATCTTTCAGATTTTTATCTTACATATACAAACCTGCAGTTCATACTTATTTTATTTACTCCCATTTTATTTATGTGAAAGTATAATTTATTATTGCTGATGTCAGTTAATGTCAGTTATAGTTTCAGTGTGAATGATTGGTGTCTTATTTTGAAAACATGCATATTTCATGGAATTAGTTGCCTTAATATATCATATTTCTATTTAAAGCAACTATTTTCCACACCCACTTCTCACTAATGTACAATTATTATTATAAAAACTATACATAGCTAGCTACCATATGCACCCATGAAAATATAATAGGATAAAATCTAGAAAACAGTGTTATAATAAATTGTAAGTTCATTTTTTTTTGTTATGTGGTGCCAAGCTTCTTTCCACCATAATGTGCAGTACCATAAACAATATATAGGAAATCATTTATTTATAATTACTAATATGTATTTGTACCTGTTATGTTCCAAGCACATGTGGAGAGGAAGATATTATGGTGCTGAATAAAATGTAATGTGTAATTATACTTTTATTTAATAATTTTAATCAAATAGATACTATAGGAGTATAAATAGGGCTTTTAATCAATGTGTATGTGTCATGAATTTTGCTGTGCAACTTATTCATTTAAAATGTTGAGTGCCTTTAATGAATGCTCTTATATTTTATAGTGCTTTAGTGCTTCATATACTTGTTAAAATTTGTACCATCAGGAGTTAGTATTTTGGAACAATCAATAAGCTATAGGTCCAGGTTTTTTAGTATTTTCATTAGCTTGAAAAATTTTGTCATACCATTTATTCACTAATATTTCTGTCGCACATTTAATTAAAATACCATTTTTATCATATTAACTAGATTTCTTTTTGCATATGCTGTTAATAATCTCAAAAAATATTAAAACAACTTTTAGGTAATTTTGTTTTGTGAAAATTGTATGTATTTATTGAGAAAGGGTAGATAGTACATTGGAATCATAATAGAAAATAGGAAGTAACACAAAACACAAAGAGGAAATACCTATTAAATTTCTTCCACTATTTATATTTCTTAGGTTAGTGATAATATTCAATGTTTTTAACATGTATATTATTTATTTGAGAATTGTATTTTAATTTACTGTTTTTTTACAAGATTTCAAAAGAAATTAATCTGTGCTGAAATTCTAAAGGTAAAATACTATCTACTGAAAGGGCTTTTTAGGAACTTTTCAAGAATTAGTACTTGATTACTCATACTGGTACTAGAAAAGTTTGGAACAGGAGAGAAAAACATAAGTAAACAGAAAATAGAATATTTTACAGACCTCAAATAAAGATAACAAACTATTCTGAGCCTGGAAAATATGTTCTCATCCCATAAAACTCTAGGCAGATGAAATCTAGCCACAGTGTTCTACTTTTTTTTGATGTGTATGCACTATCTTAGGCATCTCATAACACACTACTATTATTGTAACTTTTTTGATGTATTATTAAAGTTAATTTTATTACAGTAGGTTCTCAAAATAAGATAACTCTTTCTTCACATTTATCATATGTAGAACACATTTTCTATTGCTACCATTTGGTGGGTATTAGTTCTATAATAAGATGTGTTCATTTTTCTTTATAAAGTTGCCCATATATTACATGCACATCAATGCGTTGTTTTAACATATTACTATATTCTTCTGGGGTGTTAAAGATTTACCTTTATACATGAGATGATGCTTAACATAAAACTGTAGGTACACTCAAACTGAGCATGATTCTGATAAGCTTACATTTTGCCTGATATGTACAAATCACATCTTGTTCCCATTCATTACCCTTGTCACACAAACACACACACATAACATACAGCTTCAAGTGCTTCAGTGTAATTATTTGCTGTATAAATTAAAGTCAAATATTGCAAGTTCGTGTTTTTTCAATATTTTAATTTTGTTTGTTTTGTGTCATCTAGAGACATTTTATCTGAATACATAAGTTTTGTTTTATACAGTTTTAGTAAAGTACAAAAGAAACATAAGAGACTATTGTAGATAAAATGTACATTATGATGTCTTGATTAATCTTTTCATGTGTGAAGTTGTCATCATAGTAAAGTAATTAGATTGTTCTTTATTCTTCCAAATATTTTCCTGCAATTTTGTCATCCTTCTGTATGTCTGTGTGTAGCCATTCAACTTCCTTTGTCCTGTCTTATCCTTTCATGGTATGTAAATATAATCATACATTGCTTTTTGTACTTTATTTAATTTTTAAAAATTTTTAAAAATTTTACTTGCATCCAGTCTTGTTTTTTTTTAATTGAAACACTGGGAGATGTGAATTTACAAAACTGTTCACGATAGGGTTTCACTCATACAATATTCCAACAGCCATCCCTCCACCAGTGTCTTCTTTCCCATACCTCCACCAGTTGTTTCTTCTTCTTCTTCTTCTTCTTCTTCTTCTTCTTCTTCTTCTTCTTCTTCTTCTTCTTCTTCTTCTTCTTCTTCTTCTTCTTCTTCTTCTTCTTCTTCTTCTTCTTCTTCTCCTTCTCCTTCTCCTTCTCCTTCTCCTTCTCCTTCTCCTCCTCCTCCTCCTCCTCCTCCTCCTCCTCCTCCTCCTCCTTCTTCTTCTTCTTCTTTTTCTTCTTCTTTCTCCTCCTCCTCCTCCTCCTCCTCCGCCTCTTCCACTTCCTCCTCTTCCACCTCCTCCTCTCCCTCCTCCTCCTCCTCCTCCTCCTCCTCTTCCTTCTTCTTCCTTTCTCCTTCTCCTTCTCCTTCATTTTATTGAATGACATTGGTTTATAAGAATGTAAATGTGTATGTGCTGTAGGGGCACAATATCGCTTTGCCATGCACAGCACCACAGTACCAAATTCTCTTCACCAGAGTCCACTGGACCATTCATCCTGTCCCCCTATTGATAACATTGGTCCTCTGGTTAATTTCAACATTAGTTTTCTCATTTTATTTCTTTACATTACATCTATGAATGTGATCAGTTGGTGTTTGTCTTTTACCATTTGAAATATTTTTCTTACATAAAATTCTCTAGATAGATTAATGTTGCTCACCCTTTTTAGTGACTGAGGAATATTCCATTGTGGTTAAATGTCATGGATTCTTTATCCACTAACATGTTCTGGGACACCTGCACTGATTTCATATCTTGACTATCATCAAAAGTGCTGCAACAAAT